ACAAGCTGTATTTCTTCCACTGAAAATGTAGTCAGTTTCTGTCTGGCAGTTGTGTGGAAGATCTCCCTGTCTCCTCTGACTGGTGCTTTCAGCCCACACAGCCCATATGTGTGTGCATAACTTGCCCACACACATTTTTTTATTTAGGAAAGTCTATTTGATTGTTCTGCCTGTCACTCACTCTGCAAACAAAGCCAAATTGCAGTGAATGAAACATAGTCTTCAGAAAGAATTGAAAGAAGTGTAATTGGATACTTTTCCATGGTACACCTGATGATCTCGCCATTTGAAGACACATACTGATAATTTTTTGGTTGTCCCTACACAGCAATTGGCAGTAAGCATTTCTGGCATTCCTAACTAAAACGTCTTCATTAATCAAGCCTAAAACTCTGTCTTATGTTGTTTCTCATCCTTCTTCTTAAATAATGTTTTTCTAATCACTGTGAGGTCTTAAATCGCTTCAAACACTGTAATAACAGTGACACATTTTTATTAAAAACATTTTTTTAATCTAGACAAAAAATGATTCGCTGTGGACCATGTGACTAACATACCTTGGAACACTAAATACTATGTTTGCTATGTTTAATTCAACCTCATTTGTCATCTGCAGAAGAAATCTGTTGCATTACTGACATCTGTGCAGCAGATTTAATACGATTTCCCCTCATCCCCTCATCCCCGCATGCTACTGCTTGCTTATTAGGATTTGTGTGATGGCATAAATTGAGTGAGACTCTAATTTGTTGAGGCTGTAGGTAGGGATTGTGGTAGATAGATTTACTAGCTGTTACTAGCTGGGGGGGGGGGGGGGCTCAGAGGCCAGTAGGCCAAGGCCTGGGGGCTGACTGCCTCCGCTGCGGTGACCGATGACTGACAGGCAGCTCGTCAAAAGTGGTCCATCATTGCCAAAGGACCGCTGCTCCTGCAGCAGTGTCAGGACACAATATTCACACTGTATGTGCTTATGGTACTTAATGTCTGTCTAAGAAATGCCACAGATATAAAGGTGAATATGTTACAAATGAACCAATAAGGTGATCAAGATTAAGGACATTTGCAGAATGTTTAGGTCACATGGTCACATATGATGATATCAAAATGGTGAAATCAAGAAAGCCAACAAATGCTACCATCATGACCTAAATATTTTTTTCCTCACCGTCGGTCAGACTCTCTGACGTGGAAAAGTACAGAAGTACAGCCAATAATCTTCATTGCCCTTAAATAGAAGCTGAAATCAACGGTGGATTTTTCACTCAAAATAACCCAAAAAACATGAATGAATGAATGTTGGAGGACACATATTGGGTCCGCTGTGTTGAGTACACAGAGTGGCTCACACATGAAGGAACAGCTAAAACAAAGTAGAGGAGAGTAGAGGCCTCTGTGTGTCTGTGTGTTCTAGCCACTAAGGTACACAAACCAGCCACTAGGGTACACAGTTGTTTTATAGTGCCGGTCCCAAGTCCGGATAAATTGTAAGGGTTGCGTCTGGAAGGGCAAAACCTTTGCCAAATCAAATAATGTGAATTAAACCTATTTCCATAGCAGATCGGTCGGGGTCTGGATCAAAAACACCCGCCAACAGTGCTGTTGACCTACAGGGTACTGATGGAAACTGAGCTACTGGTGGCTTCAACAACAACAACGGTGAAGCGCTGAATAGACGCTACCGCCACATCAGTGAGCAGCAGACAGCCCATCCAGACGCCTTCCTCATCCTGTGTAGGTGCAATAGGTTGAGTGCTGCTTAGGAGCACTCGGTGTTATCACGCAACGTCACGCAACGTTACTAGGAAAAGTAAGAGAGAGAGGGGGAGGTGACCCGGCGGCGCGGAGTTACAAGGAGCGTGTACGAGCTCACAGAGGTGTGAAAACGGTGTGTGTAGACAGCAATACACTCAGGTACAATAAACAGGGCTCGTGATATCAAAGTATGTGGGGGAAGGGAGTTGCACGGCGTGGTCTTCTAAAGACAAAGGACTTTGTCAGAGTTACCTAACCACAATACTTTATCACGAACCAACTCAAACAAACTTAACCGGTTATGGATGCAATCAATAACCTTGTTAACCGTAAAGCACACACAAAATAGCAGAGAAAAGAAACATGCAACAAGAGAGAATTTCGGCAGCAAATTAACATACAACGTTCACTTTACACATTTACGAAAGGTACGTATGGACTCCTCGTACCTAGGCTTAATGCTTGACGATAAAACGTTACACAGTAATAAACTAATGTGCCCAAAATGCCAGCCTTACTTGTACTTGTCTGCTCGCGGTCCCGGCGTAGTTGGTTTCCTGAGTCCACAGGTTCGTAGCAAGGGAAATCTCGTGCCTGGAATGGACCAACGTCGACAACGACATTTGGAAGAGACTAGCCGCTCTTGTCCCTCTTTGGGTTGCTGCCCGTTGCAGTAGTGCGAAAGTTCGAAATATCACCTATTGGCCAGATTCAGGTTGAATTAGATGCTCTCTAGCCATAAAACTTTTCACCGTGGCTTGTGGCGAGGAGAAGGTTTAGCTAAGTCTTCTTCGTCTAGAGAAGTGAAGTGATGTGTTGCGCCTGGGAGTCCGGGTCAGAGAGAGCGATACCTGGGCTGCACCCCGTTTTTAAGGGTTGTGGAGGTCACCGGACGTGACGTCAGTGGTTCCTCCCGGAAGCAGTGGGATTTTGGGAATAAGAGTTTTAACTGGGCTGTGGATGTACCTACACCTGGCTGGTCACTTCAACCATGCAGACCCTAAGCATGTGTTTCCAAAACTCAATGGACATATTAACTTTCCTACACGAGGTAGCAATATTCTTGACAATGTATACACTCCACAGAAAGGTGGTTACAAAGCTCTATCGCTGCCCCACCTTGGTACTTCAGACCACACCACGGTTATGCTAATACCAGCATACAGACCACTGGTCAAAACCACCACACCAGTAAAGAAACAGGTACAGATGTGGCCTGATGGGTTGTCAGAGGCACTCCAGGACTGTTTCTCCACCACAGGCTGGAGCATGTTCAGACAGGCAACCACATACATCACTGACCTCCAGGAGTATACAGAGACTGTAACAGCCTACATGCACAAGTGCATCAACGACGTTATAGTCACCAGAACCATCTCCATTCGGGCCAATCAGAAGCCATGGATGACAGGGGAAGTCCACAGGCTCCTGAGGGCTCTAAATTCTGCCTTTCAAGCCGGGGATGTGGCGAGCCCGAGAACAGCCAGGGCCAACCTGTCACGAGGCATCAGAGAGGCCGAAACATTACTCCAAGAGGATCTTTAATCACTTCAGTGACAGCAAAGACACCAGGAACCTGTGGCAGGGCCTCACCGCCGACCACTCCCACTCTCTGCTGCACCCCTTTTAAAACTCTCTTTTTCGCTTTTAGACAACAATACCCTGGCACAGAAGTCTCCAACCCTGCCCGGCCACCAGGTCCTGACGCTATCCACCGACAGAGTGAGGAGAACCCTCAGAAGAACAAACCCACGGAAAGCACCAGGTCCTGACAACATTCCTGGCCTTACGGATGTCGTTACAGACAGTGCCTCAAAGTCTGTCAGGTCTGTCTGTTTCCTGTTCCTGCTGTCTGCTGTGTGGGGTAATCTGTGTTATCACACTCACCTGTGTGTCTGCAATTAGCCTCACTTGTGTCACCTGGTGCTCCCTGCATATATACCTCTCTCCCTCACTCTGGCCTTGTGGGATCATTGTGCTGTCTTTGTGTGTTCTGTATTGTCCGTGCCAGCGTTGTGTCGAGCATTATATTGTAGCTGTTCCTAGTCTGTTCCTGGGCAAGTCTGTTGCCATTTTCTTGTTTTTTTTATTCTTGCCATTTTGCACCGTGGGTCCGAGAGGGTTGCAATTTCATTGTGCCATATGTCCTGTATGTATGGCATATTTGACAATAAAGTTGACTTTGACTTTGACTTTATCAACCCTTGAGACAATCCGCACGCAACCCCCAGGCTAAGTGGTGTGAAGTGAACTGCCTTCAAATCAACACCACCAAAACCAAGGATTACAAATACCTAGGTGTTCACTTGAACAATAAACTTGACTGGTCTACAAACACTAGTGTCCTGTACAGGAAGGGTCAAAGCCGTCTATACCTACTGAGGAGACTGAGGTCCTTCGGGGTGTGTAGGACACTCCTCAGAACCTTGTATGACTCTGTGGTGGCGTCCGCACTATTCTACGCCATTATCAAAAAAAAAAAAAAATCTGTTGGGGGACTGGTTTAACCTCTAGAGACATAAATTGTCTGGAGAAGCTGGTTAGGAGAGCCAGCTCGGTTGCAAACTGTCCCTTAGAGACTCTGGAAGAGGTGGGTGAGAGGAAGATTTTAGCCAAGCTAAAATCCATTATGGACTATCCCTCTCACCCTCTGTTTGACACTGTGGGAGCACTGAGCAGTTACATACTCAGTGCAGAACTGAACACTTTCAGAAGTCTTTCCTCCCATCAGCCATCAGACTGTTTAATGCACAACTATAGTACTGTTCTGGTCTGTCAACATTACAATCCTTCAAGCAATGTTGTTTACATATACCAAGCCTATACATAGCTACATTGCATATTGTTTGTATTTTTATTTTGTTCCACGTACCACACTACTAATTTTAGTCACTTTTTTTCCCTGCAGGTCACTTTAAATGTTGATATTTGTATCACCTTGTAAATACTGTCTACACTGCTGTACTTTTTTATCACCTTGTAAATACTATGTCTACCCTGCTGTTACTTTTAGTACTACATGTCTATCCTGCTGCTGTAACAACTGATTTCCCCGGTGTAGGATGAATAAAGTCTTATCTTATCTTATCTGATGGAGAGACATGACGAAGAATCCTGTCTCTGATTCAAGAGAAACTACAATGAAGCACCTGAAAAGGCTTTTGTCTTTGTATCGACATTTGTACACACGTGAATACTGGGTCTGTATGAAGACTCATCTTTTTCTCGTCTTTCTGCTTTTCAATCAGAATGCTCTGGACCACTGGGCATGGAGGGTGGGATAATCTCCAACCAACAGATAACAGCCTCTTCCACCCACCGCGCTCTCTTTGGCTTGCAGCAGTGGTACCCGTACTTTGCACGCCTCAACAAGAAGGGACTGGTCAATGCCTGGACCGCTGCAGAAAATGACAGATGGCCGTGGATCCAGGTAACAAACAGTCACAGGATGGGGGAGACACACAAAGCTGGAACCGAGCCAGGCAAACACAGAACCTAGAATACAGTTAGCCCAAGATATAGAGGAATTCAACAATCATTTATTTTTTTTATTTTTAATAGCCACTTTAGAATGATAATAAAACTTCAGTTTATTCATCCATCCATCCATCCATCATCAACCGCTTATCCGGGGCCGGGTCGCGGGGGCAACAGTCTGAGCAGGGACACCCAGACTTCCCTCTCCCTCGACACTTCCTCCAGCTCTTCTGGGGGCACCCCAAGGTGCTCCCAGGCCAGTCGAGCAACGTAGTCGCTCCAGCGCGTCCTCGGCCTCCTCCCAGCGGGACACGACACGAGCCGCCAAGCCACCTCAGCTGACTCCTCTCGATGTGGAGGAGCTCTACTTCGAGCTCCTCTCGTGTGACAGAGCTCCTCACCCTATCTCTAAGGGAGCGCTCTGCCACCCTGCGGAGAAAGCTCATTTCAGCCGCTTGTATCCAGGATCTTGTTCTTTCGGTCATGACCCAGAGCTCATGACCATAGGTGAGAGGTAGGAACGTAGATCGACCGGTAAATCGAGAGCTTTGCCTTTCAGCTCAGCTCCTTCTTCACCACAATGTCAATCTCACGTTCCATCCTACCGTCACTCGTGAACAAGACCCCAAGATACTTAAACTCCTCCATCTGAGGCAGAACTTCCTCCCCAACCCGGAGGGTGCAAACCACCTTTTTCTGGTCGAGAACCATGGCCTCGGACTTAGAGGTGCTAATTCTCATCCCAGTGGCTTTACACTCGACTGCAAACCGCCCCAGTGCATGCTGCAGGTCCTGCGTCGAAAAGGGTCAACAAGACCACATCATCCGCAAAAAGCAGAGATGAAATCCGGTGGCTCCCGAACTGGACCCCACCCGACACCTGGCCGCGCCCAGCAATCTGTCCATAAATATAATGAACAGAACGTGTGACAAAGGGCAGCCCTGCCGTAGTCCAACATGCACCGGGAACAGGTCTGACTTACTGCCGGCAATGCGAACCAAGCTCCTACTCCGATCGTACAGCCCTTAGAAGAGGGCCCCCGACCCCATACTCTCGGAGCACCTCCCACAGAATACCACAAGGGACACGGTTGAAAGCCTTTTCCAAGTCCACAAAACACATGTGGACCGGTTGGGCAAACTCCCATGAACCCTCAAGCACCCTGTGGAGGGTATAGAGCTGGTCCAATGGTGTCACAAACATCAGTGATCTTAAACTCCCGGCTTGGGGGCTAGCAGTGGCCCTTTGGTTCATTATAGTTTGAGACCCCTGCTTCAAATACATTAGAAATCACCCATAAACAAATTTTACCCTTTTTTTAACCTCAGCTTTAAAAACTAAAAGTTGTTTGTAATCTCCTGTGAAGCTTTATTGTGAGCCTAACAAAGCCATTACTGCGGGGACTGCAGTCTCAGAGTGAGTGAGTATCGACAAAAATAATGTTTATTGTGATTTTTTTTTTGGACCCATAGTCCAGCAGTCCTAGTCTTATAGCATTATTTTTTAAGGCTTTTAATTTTTAAGTGTGTTATGTAATATTCTAACATTTCTTGATTTTCTTTAGCTGTAAAATTGTGATTCAAATTAAAAACACAACTCTATTCTTTAGTTCTTTGTTTGATTATTTAAACAACTAACATGACTATATTATAATATTCAGATGAGGCTGTAAAAAGTGAAGGTATTGTAATTTATTATCACCATTACTACCTTCATCAACTCATTTTCAAATGTTCTATTAGCTTCCCCAAACATATTTTTTTTAATTTGTACCTTGGTGTAACTTGCTGTTCATTATTCATTATTCATTATACATGTGACTGTGAATAAAATCAGTCTGTAAGTTCACAGTTAAGGTTTGACTATATAACAGTTTCATATATAAATACATAAACTACAAAAATGAAAAATATGTCACTGTCCAATTCAAAGCTCTTTAAATGTGTGTCTGATTGTTGTACTATTTTCCCCACGGTGCCACAGGGCTTTTAAAATGTAAATGCAAAGAATAGTAACAGTATTTCATTTGTTTTTCTTCTGAATGTTAATGTAATTTTAGAGGGTGAAACTGTTTGTATGTTTGTGCAATGTGCTTAAGTAAATTAAAAAAGTGTAACTGTTCTGTATTCCTGCAGCACTATGTATGCTAATACAAGATGCTGTCAAAGGTTAACGCTGAATATTTTTCTATAACGATTCATTCTTGAGAGGAACTCTAGAGCAGAAATAGTTTAATGTAAAAGTTTGTGCATTTGAATAACATCACTCAATGGCAAAAAATGAGTCACTCAAAATAGGGGAAGGGTGAAAAGGTGAGGCCTCGCTCCCAACTTGGGATTTCAGTTTGTTCTATTTTTATCAATTTTCCTTTCCTGTTTGTGCAGCTAAGCCATCCAAGCAATCTATGTATATTATTAGTTATAATTCATGTAATTATATAACATATGAGAATGAAAATAAAGTTAAAATGCTGAAGATTACATGAATTATTAAGTATTTATTGCTAAAAACAATAATAATAAAGAAACATATGTTATGTTCTTACTGACATCACATTGAGGTCAGAGTCCTTTCTTGCTTTATCTTGACACCATTGAAACCCGACAGACAAATGTCTGCTGACACTAAATGTTCCCATCCATACATAAGTCAAACATACACATCCATCGCCATTAGAGCTTTTGAGCATTAGAGTTTCAGGATTTTTCTGAAATTTTTTTTCCTCCAGCAAAAAGACAAAGAACAGTTTTTCAGCGAGTTTAGTGATTAATGTAATTATTTTGGTCAACTGGATAAGAAATCTGTTTTTAAAAATAATTGGTGTTGACTCATTGTGCTAAACTTCACAAGTGAATAATCTGTCAACTGAAGACAAAGTTGTCTAAGCTCATGATGGCAAATAATTCAGGGAATTCAGGGAAATCTTCAAGGATTCAAGGAATTTATACGGAATGATTCTATTCATTTGAAAATAGACCTGACCAAGTCTTGCTTTCAACTGCACAATAGAAATCAAATTAAACCTCACAGTGCTTTTGATAAATGTGACATGAAAAGAAAGTTAAGGTTTTCTCTCCATGATGTTAAACAACAGTCATTGCCTTTCTGGCTTTTGTTTCTTTTCTCTTCCTCTTGGCTCTTCCAGACACCTTCTGTTGGCACTATGTTGACAGTCTGCACAGGGCTGACAGAATAGATGTGGAGCAGCAGAATTTATTTAATGTTTCATTTGATCACAGACTGTCTAAATACGATGGATGGTCCTGACAAGCAGGAGACGAGTGAGAGGATTGTCACCTTACATAAACACACTTGCTCACACAGGTGTGCAAAGTCATGGTGTATGAAGATGAACGTATTTATATATTTTTTCTATACCCCACAGATAAATCTGCAGAGGAGAATGAGAGTTACCGGCCTAATTACCCAAGGTGCAAAGCGTATCGGCAGCCGAGAGTACATAAAGTCTTACAAAGTAGCCCACAGTGATGATGGGAAGACCTGGACAACATACAAAGTCAAGTGCAAAGATGAGGACATGGTGACACACACACACACACACACGGGGGAACACAAACACAGTCAGGCAAACCGATTGTCATCTCCCTAATGCTAAACCTCTTGCAGCTCGTGTGTAGCACAGTGACAAAGACACACACTTACTTGTACACATGCACAAATGGTGACTGGAGACAAGGTGTTTTATCATTCCTGACAGCAAACCACAGCTGTTTTTCGTTTGGCCGTGCTCCAAACAACCCTGACTTTCAAACTTCTGCTCAGTTTTTTTTTTTTTTTAAATATAGACGGACTATATTGTAAGTCTTCCCCAGTCCACTGTTAATCAGGTGGGAGCTAACGCTTTATAATTCTAGATCAAACAACATTTACGCACAGGGCAGAAAAACCCTAGGGTTACTTCCCAAGAGTAAGAGTTTTCTGCTTCCATTTTTATTCCATGTCACTGAACCTTTCTGCCAAAATCACATTTTGACTCATTGGAATAGACTAAATTGATAATGGGTTGTTGACCTGTACTTACCTTACGGTAACTGTTGCTTTGTTAAATTTTGCTTACACCTCTGGAGAGGGAAACAAGAACAAGAAAAAAAGTAGATGAGGGCAAAACTTTTATGAGCTCCCCTTGATCTTTATTCCCCTCAAAAATGCATAAATAATAATAATAATCCTTTATTCGTCCCAATATGGGGAAATTTACAGTGTGAGACTGCCACAGGAGGTGCAATTAAGTATTGCTGTTAAGTATAGTTTGCAACTCACAGACTTATAGTAATAACAACAATAATACCAGTAATAATTGTTATGATAATGAACTGCACCAGCTTCAAGGTTCAACCGTTACTGACTTGTATTAAACAACAGCTCACTTTGTACATAGCTGATTGAAATGCATGGGCATTTAAAAAAAAAAAAGCATTTAAAAAAAACAAACAAACTAATAATACATAACCCGAAAAGCTGGACTCTGTGAACAGGAAGCATTCCTGGACATTTTCAACTGCTCTCACTTTCACTCTTCTACTGTGTTCCCATCTGCCTCCAACTTTCTGAACACCTTACATGCAGTGCATTCGTTGCTCCAGTCAGATGTTCTTTGTTGGTCTTTGTTAGGTCACTGTGATAAAACACTTGCAGTATAAGTGAAGCAATAATTTAAACACAACACCACTCTTATGAGTTACAGGCTCAAATGGTGCACGGGATTGTCTCGTTTTCTCTGTAATTCTATCTCATTGACCCTGAGTGACTGCAATTTGTTGACTACAGAGTAGACACTAGAGATGGCTCCAGATAGACCGCTATGTTTCAACAGAGCTGATCTGCTGCAGCGTCCTACCAAACACATCTGCTGTTATTTCATCCCCTTCACCAGATTTTCAGAGGCAATGTGGATAACAACACTCCATCAGCCAACTCCTTCACCCCGCCTATTGAAGCACAGTACGTGCGCATTTACCCACAAGTCTGCAGGAGGCACTGCACCTTACGCATGGAGCTACTGGGTTGCGAGCTAACAGGTGAGTTTGGCTGTAACTATTGTTGTTGTTGTTTTGGGGTTTTTTTCAGTTATTTTAGAGCTTTTCTGACTTTATTGTTGTTCTCAGGTTGTTCTGAGCCCCTGGGGATGAAGTCAGGTCACATCCAGGACTACCAGGTCACTGCCTCCAGTATCTTCAGGACACTCAACATGGACATGTTCACCTGGGAACCTGGGAAGGCCCGCTTGGACAAACAAGGCAAGGTCAATGCTTGGACAGCAGGACACAGTGACCAATCACAGTGGCTACAGGTAATGCACTCAGTAACTGAACCAGATCTCTATTGTGGTTACTTTACACTTAACATTCTCATGGGAATTAGCATATAAAAGAACAAAAGACAAGTCGGGCTTTTGAATGCAGAAGAACAGACTTTTACTCCAAGGATTATCCTGCTCCTCCCTGGAATAGTAATTGATTTTGACGGTGCACGGCCTTACATGTGAGTGTATTCATTTACATTTCGTTGAGATACATTTTAATAATGGTTGCAGGTTAAGTTATGAATTAAACCACATCTTAAAATCCTGCATCTGTTAATGAGTCAGTAATAGGTAGTCATCTCTCTCTTTTGTTTTCATTGCCTCTCTTTGTTTTTTCACTTCAACACCAAAACACCAGCCTTTGTTGGCAGCGTTTAGTGGCTCTGTCTTTGGCTGCAACCCAGTCTCTGTATCTCTGTGTCCAGCCAATGCATTTGTTTCCATTACAGTAACTGATGGCTGAAAGTGTCCTCTGAAAGGGACAGGACATGTCTCTGAGTGAGCGTTTACATGCTGGTCCTTCTGTTTATGAGATGAATAAAAGCTCAGGGAGTTTTTGATGCTCAGTTGGACCTTAGTCATGTTTACTCTCACTTTTGGCCTGGTGTGATTTGGTTAATGACAAGATTAGTGATGCTCTTTGTTTTCAGAGTGGGAGACACTAACAGACATAACTGCCTCATATTCTTGGTGGAATTAAAAGTCAAAGTTAATTATTGTCACTGATGCACAACACACCACTGCACACTTAACCCATCACCACATCACAGGGCAGCTCAAGCTGAGTGCCACGCTCAGTTTACCTCAGTGGGACCTGGTGGGCGGTGGATTCAAACCTGCGACCTTCCAGAACCAAGTTTGCTTCCTTAACTACTGGTCCGCCACTGCCCCTATAAAGATTAAATCTTTTTTAATTTATAAATTATTTCTATCATTATTATATTATTGTTTATTTTTGATTATTTATTATTCATTATTTTTTTCAGATTTTTTTATAAACCCCTTTTTCTACTAACTGTTTTCTGGTCTGAACAACAATTGTGGTTGTCTTGTTGCTGATCAGATGGGTCTACTGCTTTATTTGATATATTTCTTTCTATTACTACACTAAAAGCTTTTTTTAGTAAAGGAATACTGAGCTGAAGGGAAAAAAACTCAAAAAGCACAGAAATATATCCAGACCACATCACAGCCAGAAAGCCCAGCTGAGCAAAACAAATGGCTGTGGTTAAAGGGAAAATTGTGGTATTATATTACATGCTGTGCCAACAGAAAAGAGAAGATGCTACACAGACTCAGCTTCCACTGCTGACATTCATTTCATATTACTCTAACATACTGCACTGTTGAGCACATGACATTGTCACCGAACACTTGCAGTCACTCGACCCTATAATAAAAAATTTACTTTTAGCAAACCTGAAATGTTTTGACACACATTTTCAGAAAGGCATTATTTGACAACTTACAGTGAAATAATCAATTCTTGAATAACATCAGCCATTAAAAAATTATGGCTGGATATTTTTAAACAGAAAAACTGAAGAAACCATTGGACATTTGTGACCATACTGGTCACAAACATTTGTGACTCAGACAGACACAAGCAGTGACAGTGTGTTGATTCTACTGATCTGCTGAAGACACTGGTGAACACCTACAGTGGCTGTCCTCTCCAGAGCTTGGGGAATTAATTGATTTTCAGTGGTATCAGTGAAAGACATTTGACATTTTAACATTTGAGATGAATAGAATTAATCAGCCTTAATGACAAATTAAGTTTTCCTTTCAGTCAAGAAAACTGCTCTGCAAGATGGAAATGGTTGACAGCCAGAAAGTGTAAACCTTTGTTCCATTATTTAGCATTAGACTGGGATATCATGGATCTTTGTGCGTTTGATTATACATTGGCCATATTTTATATTACAGATATAGGCACAAAGAGCAAAAAAAAAAAAAAGCATACAAATAATTGAAAATTGTGCTTAATCTCTGTCAAGTGTATCAGGTAGGTCAAGCTGATAAGTTAATTGTTTTCACATACAGTAGCAAACACAAAGTGTACTAACATTTACACTTAATGTCATGTAATTTACAAGTAGTTGTGCAGATTTTTAGAATTTTTGTTACTATGAATTTATATTTTTTCTTGCATTTAAGTTATTAAAAATATGGACAATAATGACGTAGAGTACGACTTAAAATTAAATTAAAGTTAATGAAAAATAGAGCTGGTGATGATCTGCAGCAGGTAAAGGCAATAAAGGAAAGGTTCATTGAATTAATCTTGTTGAAAATATAAATTCATTTCTAGAAACTTTGTCAAAGGATAATTATAGGAGCTGAGAGACAGGAGAACAACGGAAGGAAAGACGGAAAACTGTGAGGTGCTGGAGGAACAGTTAGGAACAGTGAGAGCAGCTATGATGAGGTTGAATGGTGGAAACTGACTGGGTTACTCTGACAAAGCCCTACAGTTTTAGAGATATTTACGGACTGATGTGTGACAGGACGATCAGAGCATCAGTGACAGGGAAGGTTTACAAGATGTCAGTGTGACCTGCTGAAATGTATGGTTTGACAGCAACACTGTCGAAACGTCTGGAGGTAGAGCTGCTCTGGTTCCTCATATAACATGCTCTTTATCTTTAAATAAATTGGAATAACTCTTTATGAACCTAATTCCAGAGCTGTTTATTGCGGTTAATTTAGCAGAAGTGAACTGTGACACACCCTCAACGATCTGGGTTCATGCCCTTTAGTTCCCACAGACTCGCTGCATGTCTATGTCTTCCGAGACACTGCTTATTAAGACAGTGACTATATAATTATTAGCATCTCAACATACAACTGTTCAACTGATGGTGTGTTTTTATGCTGTACATGGCCTTGTGTAGACGCCGATCATTCATCACTTCATTTGCAACTTTATGGATTTATTTTTGGCCCAGCAAGGTTTAGAAAAAACAGGCTATGGTAGCAACTCTGTTCTAACAGTCCATTTGTTATCCTCTATCTGCAGTTTTCACACCCAATTATTTCCTTAAAGTGATTAATATGTGCAGCGTGGGGCTGTAGCACCCTGATAATCACCCAAGCCTCCGATGAGGCAGAGTGAGCTAAAACCTTTGTGTGAAAACTTGAAAAAGACATATAGTAGCACTTCTATAAATCGTACACTGGGGCCCAGGTTTGATGAAACCTAAAATCAGTATCAGTGATTAATAAAAATCAGGCAACTGGAAATGATAACATACACACACACACACACACACACACACACACACACATATATATATATATATATATATAGTTTTTGTGCAGCAAAGCATATCTGGGAGAACTCTTTGAAAGTGGAAAGCCTACATACACAAGTGCTGATTAGGGAAAGTGAGGCAGCCTCAAATCTATCCCACTGCATGTTTATAGTAAGAAAGTCTCTCTGCTGGTACACACAAGTGGGGAACACAGCAGGAGACAATAAACCAAGACTGTGCAGACAAAGACAAGTGGAGACATACAGTGGTATGAAAAAGTTTGGGCACCCATGATCATTTTCAAGATTTTCCTTTATTTTGGATTTGGTTGTTCAGAACAGCAATTTCAATTAAATATATCATATAGCAAACAAACACAGTGATATTTAAGAAGTGAAATGAAGTTTATAGGATTTACAGAAAGTGTGCAATAATTACTTAAACAAAAGTAGGCAGGTGCATAAATTTGGGCACCC